CTATCCATCTATGCAAAAGAACGGTAAGTATCTCAGTTTTTCGAGATTCGAACTGGTTTTTCAAAAATCTCCGAGAAGACCGGTGTTTAAACGGCTTGCTTCTGAGAATAAAAGCTAATCACCATCAGTCTGTGGCTCGCTCTATCACCCCACTCCATTTCACACGGAATGTGGCCCCCTCTATCATCCCACTCCATTTCACGTAGCTTGTGGTTCTCTCTATCCCCCACTCCATTTTACGTAAATTGTGGCTCCATTTAACCTTTGACCCGGCACAGAGAAACACACAGACACTGAACATTATATATATAAATTTGTCTAATCTCATTGTAGTGCTTTGATGTTTGGAGTGGGTTTTTTATATGATTCTTTGAAGAATGTTAGAGATTATGTATAATTTCAGATCAAAATCCCATAGCTAATAAATGAAATACTGGTATTTAGAAGGTTTTTTCTACGAAAAGAATTTTTCTCAAACAATAGTTTGGCATGATGTTTTATGCAAACTTTTCTAATCGGAAAGAGTTGCTACATTTGTTTTTCTTTATTTTTTTGCTTCGGACGATACCAATCCAGTTCAACAAACGACAACAACGGTTCAAGTTGAACAAACAATAGACGAAGAAGAAGAGGAGAAAGCAATGAAACCGATCTTTTGGTTTCGTCATTTCAGAGAAGAAAAATTACCATCACATCATTTTATTGCTGGTGATACTATTGCACTCATTGATCAAAATGCACTGATGAAATTGGACGATTATCAACAACAAAAACATGAAGAAAGACCACCAATACGTTTATTTTATCAAGCTATGGGTATAGTTCAATCAGTTTATCCAAATTTTGCTGTGCAATTTCCATTTTGGCCTCCGTCATTATATAACATTAATTATTTGAATCAATCAAATTTATATCGTATTGAACGTTTACCAAATTTTGTTACACTTAATAGAAGTATCCAAGCACTTGAACAATTAATTGATAATGATCAATTGGCAATTAGACCGTTATTAAACATCTCAGATAATATTGATAAAGAAGAATTGAAGGATCTTGCAAATGAAATTGTTTCACATTCTAATAATATTGATGATCTTGATTATATAAGTGCAAGTATTAATAAGAGTCAAAGACAAGCAATTATGTGTGCACTACAAAAGAGACTAACATTAATTCAAGGGTAAGATATTCTACTTGCTTAAAAGTCCTTGAGTTTTCTTGAGAATGTCCATTTCCTATACCCTATTCTTTTTTCTGTTTTGAATTGTTATTCAGCTAATATAAAATTTCAACAGACGAGTAACGCTTTAGACCATAATGTCTGAGTTGGGATGAACTTTTCCTGGAAAAATTTCGACTTTCGATCTCACAGAATCCCAACCCCCCCCACATGAGAGGGATTAGATTATATGGGATCTTCTGAAAAAAATGTTGCTGAAAAAATATGAGTGAAAATTCGGAAAAAAACTAACTTAACTTGGCCAGCTAACTCTGCTATCGTAAATGAATTCTGTAACGTTTTTTCTTCATTTTTTTGTTCATAAATCGTACATCAAATGACGTAAACAGCTGCAACACGTCTTAAATTCAAGAAAAAACTGTTATGAACTACTTTTCGATTCTGCAAAGTTTAAATGTACGAAAAGTAGTTGCCAATGTTTCTATCAGATTTTTAAAACGAGATATGTTACAGTACTGAGACAGATTTTAAAATGTTCATAACAGTTTTTTCTTGAATTTAAGACGTGTCATCGCAGCTGTGTACGTCGTTTAGTTTACGATTTTTAAACAAAACAAAATGAAGAAAAAACGTTACGGAATTCCTTAACAGAATACTAATAAAACTCAATAATTCTCTTATGATTTAGACCTCCAGGGACGGGAAAAACTGAAACATCTGCAATGATTATTCGTCTATGGTTGAAGTTACATGATCAGATTGATGAACAACAACCAATTCTTGTTTGTGCTGAAACTCATCAAGCAATTGATAATTTAACAAGACGTTTAATAAAATTTGTTCGAGTTGTACGTTATGGTGAACCAAGAACAATCGGAGCTGATTTACAAGTAAGATATTTTGTGATATCTTTTATTGTTTCATCTTTTTGTCTATCTATAGGAGTATACAATGCAAGCTCAAATTGATTTATTGAGACGTCACAATTCACCTAATAAACAATTATTTGGTCCACCAAAACCAAAAGAAATTCGTCAAATAATATCATCATGTCAAGTATTAGCTATGACATGTGCTGGTGTAGGTATCTTAGAAAAAGATTATCGTTTTCCATTTATTTTAATTGATGAAGCTTCACAAATAACTGAACCAAATATTTTAATTTCTTTAATTCGAATTACCAAACAAATTGTACTTGTGGGTGACCAAAAACAACTACCCCCAATAATTAAAATGGAAGAAGCTAAACCTCTTTTAGAACGATCATTTTTTCAACGTATGATTGAAAATATTGGTATTGAAGTTCATATGTTAGATACACAATATCGAATGCATCCAGCATTAATACAATTTCCAATTAAAAAATTTTATAATAATCAATTGAAAAATGGTGTAACATCTCAAGATCGTCCACAACCAAAAACAATTAAATTTATAGATAAAAATTGTCCACTTATGTTTGTTGATGTTGCTAATGGAGAAGAGATGTGTCGTGGTTCAAATATTGAAAATAGAGAAGAAGTCATATTAATATGTGAAACAGTTAAAACTCTATTACCATCGAAAGATGGAGAATATCAACCAAACGATATTGGAATTATAACACCATATAGAAAACAAGTTATGTGTATCACAGAAAAATTGAGTCAAATGCAAATACCAAAAGGAGTTGAAATTAGAACAGTATGTAATTCTTTCTGATCTCATTAAATAAATGAAACGATCTCTAATTCATCTTTTTTTTAGGTTGATGGATTTCAAGGACGAGAGAAAACAGTTATTCTCATAAGTTTGGTACGTTCAAATAGTGATCATGAAATAGGATTTTTGGTTAATGAACAACGAATGAATGTATTGTTAACCAGAGCCAAATGTGCTATGATTGTTTTTGGAAATAAACTTACATTGAGTGCAAATAGTGTATGGAAAGAATGGATAGATAGTGTTCCAAATGTTAGTAGTGATCTCTACAAGAGAGAATGTTTAGTGGCAACACCATCGAACAATAATCGATCATCAGTTCAACAACAAGAAGTGTCGAATACAAGAGGAAGAGGACAAATACGTGGTCGAGCCAGCAGTAGACAAATTTATCAACGAGGAAGAAATCGAAGAGGAAATTATTAACAGTAATAACTGACGAAATTTTTTTTATTGTTCTTTAGTCATTAATACAGTTTTGTTATAGTTTTGCTATTTGTTGGTAATAAATAAATAATTTTTTACTTAAGGAACTTTCATTTAAGGCCCACCCCTTCCGGTTCATCTCTTTTGTACGCAGAGAAAAATCACGTACTGTCCTGCTGTCGTTGGTCAGACCTGGGATACTGACATATCCAAGAACATGTTCATTAGATCTGCCATGACGAAAAATTACCAAGACGACTTTGACTATTAGGACTATTTATGCTAGACGACCAACTTACGACCGTTCTATAGCGATCTCTTAAGTTCTATTGTAAGAATCGTATATAGGGCAGTGGATTAGCATTGTGTAGCATATTGATAACATTCTTATATGTAGGGATATGAAAATCTTATTACATTCTCATAAGAATTCGGCAACACAGATTATATATTTTATTTAGAAGAATTCATAAGATTCTGAGAAGATAGTATACCAACTTTTATCTACATTAATTAAAGCGGCTGAACCTACATTAAGGGAGGGGGGCAGGTATTAATTTATAATTAATTAGTACTGAGTATTGCTAATTAGCATTAATCTGGTACCTTACCCTTTTATTCCTAAATTAACGATTTGTTAGAAACCGTGAAGTAGCTCGTTCGACAGTGATTTTCAAGCGCTACAAAACCTTGTATTCGCTTTTCAAACATTTACCCGTAAGGAATTACTGTAATTCGGTTTTTCGGAGTATCAGGTTTCTACGAGGATTACTGTTGTCGGCGCCAAATATAAGGCAGGGTGTTATTTTTTGAATAACTCAAGGACGGTAAAAGATAGAGACTTGCGGTTTTCGCGAGTCGAAAGAGGACAGTTTAGGCTATATTTGCATAGACAGAAACGTTTTTTGAACAAACTTGTGAAACCAGTTTTCCAAGAAGTCTTAGGGCTTCGGGAAAAACGTCCAAAGCTTCCGGAGCAAGTAAAGTGGAACTTTTGTTTGGATCTTATTTTTTACATGACACTTTGGACTATCTACATATGGAAAAAAATCGATAAACTGTTATGTAAAATTGTTAACTTAGAAAGTGGTTTTCCAGAGCTCCTCTGGAAAATCAGTCTTAAAAATTTGTTCAAAATACATTTTTGCTTTATGAAAATATAGGCTAAAGTGTCTTCTTTCGAATGTCGTAGACTGCAGGTCTATGTAACAGAAAACTTAAGAGAAAAATCAAGTTTAAGAATTTAAAATTATTAAAAAACCTAAAATTCAGTTCTTATCGATATTCTACGAATTTACGGATTCCACAACATACTATCACATGCTGAATGTTGTTTTGTAACTCACTCTCACGACTCACCTCTCCCCCGCCCCACTGTGTGAAGGAACTACTTAAACCGAAACTTTCCGGTAAGCAAAGGAGTAGTGCTTGTTTTTCTATACAATAACTCAAAGCCCATCAGATTTTTTCCCAAGTTTGTTTCTGTTGCAGAGCGCAAAAGCTGCAGGAAGTTCATTCCGACAAGCATCCACAGATTCTGAAATTCTCGAATAGTATAATTGCAGAACCCTGCCAGCTTGATATACATAGAAATCAATAAATGAAAAATTCGAAAATTGATTCCTGTCAGCTCGTAGCAATAGGTGTTTACTACAAAACAAAAGAAATCCGAGTTCTCTATCATCTACCTGGAACGAGAATTCTTGCACGCAGTCAAGGTCGAGGGACCAAGGCCTAAAATGGGCCCTCTACCTGCACAAATTCTGTTTCACCTATACTAAAAAGCTGAGAGGGGAGCCGTCCCCTCTTAACTTATCATTATTATCATCTTGATAGTCTGTCTGACATAATTTGGATGGATTTTGACCTGGTTATGAATTTTTTAATTTCCAGTGAGAAAAGGCAAAAATGGGTTATTTCACCTCGTATAAGTTTTCAGTAGGTTTCTGAAACTTTTTTGAAAAATAAATGTTGCCACAAGATTCAGCGTGGTTGATTACCTATGTTTCTATTCGTTTTCGGAATTACCACACCTAAAGAAATATTGATCCTGGGACTCTCAGGAACTGCGATGCCACACCTGAACCAGGAAAAATTGAGAATTCGCTTGGTTCCCATTTTGGAGAGAACGCTTTGGACTATATAACCATGAAAGGAAACTGATAGATTGCTATCTCAGTATCCGGAGATCCAAACTGATTTTCTAAAGATCTTTCAGAAAACCGATCTTCCGAATATTTTCCGAAAGAGATTTAGTATAAGAAAGCATAGGCAAAACTATTTTCTTTAGATTAGTGCAAATCCCAGATCTCTATCTTTTATCGTCTTTGAGTTATTCAAAAAACGCTAATTAGCTTGTCTCGTGTCTCAGAAAGCTGCAGAATTTTCGAAAAAACTTCTTAAAAATCGTCGAGATTCAATAATATTTTTATATATTTGTGAAGTAGACATCTCAGGCGATATGCCCGTATACTTATCTCAAAAATCATTTTTTTGACGAAAATCGACTTTTTGGAGGGCGGTGGTGAGCGGCCTTAATGTATAGTTTTGTTTGAGTAAATAGTAAATAGAAGCTATTCTCTACAAATCTGTTAGATCAACAATGCTCCAATGATAATGAATTGAATCGCTTTCTTGTCAATTTTTATTTAGAAAACCTAACATTGTACGCGGGACTACAACAAAATAAAACCGATCTAACTGCTGTTGAACTGAAAATATCTGTTTATATATAGTGGAGAGATGAGAGCGAAGAAGAGAAATCTAGTATGATCAACAAAGGTAAAATATGCACAAGAATACGAGAACAATGAGAACATGGCCTGGATATGAAGAAATGCAATGTATATAGAAAGTAAAAGCTTACTAGAACAAAATGGAATATAGACCACTACGTGCAGACAAAAGAAGAAAATATCATACACTAAGAGAATGCGACGAGGTGATGGATGACCCATACACGTGACATATAGCAAGCCAGGTGACAGGCACATGACAAAATCTTGACTAACGATACTTTTATTAATAATGTGGAGTCTTGTATATTCTTTATCGTGTTTGTTGACTCTTGCTCTTCTTTCACGCTTACAACTAATTCTGAAGTGAGTAAGCAGCACTTCACTTTTTCTCTTCAAGATATCCCTGCTAATAACTTGGTGTATTCTATCATCTATTCGGCTACTATTTAGAATTATGATCTATTTCACCCAATCAATTTTACTAATTTCATTCGTCAAATTCTATCTCCAAAACATGTTCGTATCATGTTCGATAAACAGTGTAAATCTATTATTACCATTTATCTTCTTCAATTCAGCATCGTTTATTAACACTCAGACGTTTGACTGAACAAGAAATGATCTTAATCAAATTTGCTTATTTACATCCATTGAGGGACTTGTATCTACTCGTATTTCTGGTTTTTATTTTTTAGCCGTCGATTCATAATTTAACTGTAGACCATAAACAAATATTATGACATCGGAATATGATAAAAGTAAATATAAATAACAGAAAAAGAGAAAGAAAGATAAAAACTTTTCATAAGAAAAAAAGGTTAACAAGGGAATTGATAATGAATCATTCTAATCATTATTAATGTTAATTTAATACAGAAGATGGTTTCATTAATTGTGAGTACAGTATTATGTCTCATTATTGTATTCGTTCTAAAATGTTTCCGATGGCAGCAGTCATCTCGTCGATTTCCTGGTCCAACACAATCCCTACATCTTCCAACGTTTCTTCTTCGTTTAATAATGAAAACCTCGTATGTTAAAAATTTACTATATTTAATTGATCCAGTCTCAGCTCGTTTTATAACAACAACAGTGCCTCTAGTAGCTCAATACTACACAGAAAAATATGGTGATATTGTACAGATATCAATGTTCAATCAACCAACAATAATCATATCAAATCCTGATTTTGCCGATCATATACTCAGACGAAATGGACGAAATTATACATTGAGATTTGGTGAAACACAAGGCTTGACTCATATTGGAATGAAAGATAAAGGTATAATATGGAATACGAATGTATCAAGATGGAAATATCAACGAACACATTTTTTTCAAAAATCATTAAACAGTAAAATGTTAGAAGATGCTAAAAATATCTCAGCTGAAGCTACATCATATATTCTATCGAGTATGAAACAATTTGAAAATAATAATATTAACAAAACTGATATGTTAGACTTGTTACGTACAATTACATTCACTGTTACATGTGCTCTATTTCTTGATTATCCTGTTGGAAGTTTAACATTCGGTGAAACAAAAAATTGTGTTAAAGCAATTGTTCAATATTTCAAAGCATGGGAATACTTTCTTCTTAAACCATGTCAATTGTATGAAACGAAACAGGTGGAAGAACATTGTCAAGCTGTTGAAAATTTGAATAAACATGTTGATCAACTAATTAATAATATTACTCCCGGTAATTGTCAATTTATCAATTTGCTATTGCAAGCAGTTGAGTCAAATGATATCACTAAAGATGAAATGAGACAATGTATATTGGAAATGCTGATAGCAGGTAATGTTTTTCTTACCACTGGCACGTTTTACGCTAGACAAAAGAGCGAAAAATGTGGAATAACCTGTTTAGTTTTCGCTACTGAAGGAACCTATGAGTCATTGCACATAAGCCACGACAAGCCACGCTCAAGAGCATTTCAGAATGTTTTCTAAGTAGTTTCATATTGTAGAGCATGTTTGAGAACCTATAAATCCAAATCTTTAGGCTTCCCGAACTTTTCGTTCTGTAGATATGAAATTTTTTTGACTGGAGTGAAGTTCGAGAATCGTGAAAAATGTACATTTCGTTTTTCTCGTGAACGAGAAGAGATGGAACCGCGATTTCTTCAAGGTAGGTAGTAGTTGATGTCTACCATATATGGTAGACATCAACTACTACCTACCTTGAAGAAATCGCGGTTC